TCGCTGTGTCTGCAGAGCTGCACCAACAAAAGCTCTTTGTGAGGGGCCATTGTGTGGCTGCTGAGGCGTGGGCCGCCTTTGCTGCCAGAAATTCCAAGCCGCGTTTCCAGAGACCCCAGGTCACTCACAGCACGGATGCAAAGTCTCTTTTGGGGTAAGATGGGGGGGGGAGGTAGAGAGAAGAAATCTTTTGAGGAACCCACAAATTTCTCAGCAGAAGGAAGTGGCGGGCGAGGCAGGCCTCGGGATCTTGGGATCCACTTTATTCCAGTTCTAATCCTTGTGGGGTCAGGGCTACCCGAGCGGCCTGAGCAGAGGAAGGCGGCTGCGTTGGGACCAATCCAGGGGACGGGCGAGGGGGAGGGGGGCTTAATCCCCCATTTCCCATCGTGCAACAGGCTTGGGAGAAACACAAAGGAGTTCTTTTCCAGGAGGGTCATTGCAATGCAAGCAAGGACCCCCATTTAAGTGAAGACCGGCCCCATCCCCCTCCAACCTCCCTGGGGATAAAAGCCTTGCCGATAGATAAGGAAGGGGGGGGGGGGGGGAGAGGCAGACTCCCACCCCACCCCAGCAGAGACCATGCCATGAAATATGAACACGCAAGAGCTGACCTCCAGAGTTATGCCTTTGCAGGCCAAGTGTCCTGCGGGCATCAGCGCCTGATTCCGAGGGTCAGTCTGAATCTCTATAGACCCCAATGGCCTGGAATTGGGAGCCTTCTCCCCTACTAATGGGACCATTATCAAAGTTTGCCCTGGATGATGGGTGCTAGAGTAGTCCATTTGCAGCCCGGGTCAGCATCAGAGGGCAAGACTCACTTCCTAAGCACCGATATTTACCTTTAGCATCCTTCAGGACAGGTGTTTCTGCCTTTACCTGCGCTGGCTGGCTGGTCCAGCAGACAAGGGAAATCCCCCTTGTCAAGCCCAGACAAGGAAATCGGGGGGAGAGCTCACCCACCCTCGGTCCTTCTGCCTGGGCCCTTCGCAGCTCACCCACCACCCTGCTACCATCCAGATTAAACTCCAGTTGAAAAGCAGACTTTGGGAAATGAGATTCAGTCTCAAGGGGCCCAGCATTCACCCTTTGGAAGGCAAGTGCAGGCCGGGCTCCCCAGCGGCTCGGAGGGGAAGGAGGGCCTGCCGCCGGGGGCTGCTGGACATCCCTCAAGGGGGCACCCGGAGATGGGGGCTGGGGGTCCTGGGCGGCCACTCCAGAGGACCCAAGTGGTCATTGTCCGGTCGGTGAAGTCAGCGAGGGACCCTGCTGGAGGTGGAAGCTGCGGACTCTACCCACTGGTTCAAAAACAGGATGCTGACTCACATCCTGGCCAGGTTGCAGGGTTGAGGCTTTACCACAACAAGGAGGCCCTTCGGTGGGCCGGGGAGACCGTGGCCTGGGAACCAGCTGGCAACTCAGATAGGGGGCTGGTGGGCTGCCTGCAGGGAAACCCTCAGAAACCAGGGGACAAAATGTGGCCAGGAAATCTCTCATGCTCGGGGTCAAGACCACAAACAAGGCTTGGGCCAGGTACTTGGGAGGGGGGGCAGGAACCCCCAGCAAGGCTTTCTTTGCACCTTAACTTTCTGCTTCTGAATGGCGTCCGGCCTTTGGACGTCATTTTAATCCTGCTTCTTGCACTGTTTTACTCCCTCTTTAGGATAAGGCTTGCTGCTCTGGGTGGGACTAAGAAACCAGCATTTATGGACAACGGGTGGCTTATTCTCCCCTCATCATATCCTGGGGGAGAGATTTGCTTTTGGGCCTGCAATTTGAGCGGTGGGCTTGTACGACCAGTTTGCAAAGAGCTGCCTATTGGGTCATTTTGGCTGCCTGCTAGAAGCCGCCTGGGCCGTTCCAGGGCAGGGTCGCTTCGGTCCCTGCAAAAATCTGGATGAAACTGTGTCACGCAAAAGCCAGACCGGCTGGCAGAGATGGAATGAGAGCGCCCCCCACGGACCAAAAGGGACAATAACACACCAATCTGCCCTTCAGCCTTTGGACTAAGAGCACCGGCCGGCCGGCATTGCAGCTTCACCGCCAGGCAGGACACCACCGTTCCCGCCACTGAGCTGATGGACAGACTGAAGAGGGACCAGCGGCTTCCACGGGCTCCATGGAAACATAGATGCCACCTAGCTGGCACCCCCAGTGGGCAGCCAGTGCCAGTCTGCTGTCCTATCCTTTCCCCTGGCAGAGATGCCTTGGTTTGGTCAGCTGATCTTTGAATGGCAGGTAAGTGCTGATGAGTAGACAGGACTCACTGCATGGGGGCAATGTTGGTGCGCCCTCCCCAAGGCTGCACCCCATTTGCAAGATCGTAGTTTCGCCCCTTGGAGACCCTGGTTGTGAGGAAGGTTGGAGCCCTGAAAGCACTTGCTTTCCCCTCCTGGGAATTCACCTGAAGTCCTTTTATACTGTCACTCTGTTCCACTTTGGGACAGTTTTTAAAGTAGGAATAAAACCATTGCAATTACATACAGACGATAATAGCCCCACCATCACAGACAAACCGAGATTATAAAAATAGTACAGAATAGCCAACAAGGTTCAAACTGTATCCCCAAAACCCAGGAAGATAAAAAAAGGAACTTGATTGTTCTTCTGAAAATGCAATTCTTTTCCACGAAATTTCCTGCCATCAGACCCCCAGAGCAGGAGTGAAATCCAGCAGGTTCTGACACGTCCTGGAGAACCAGTAGCGGAAATTTTGAGAGGTTCAGAGAACCGTTGAATACCACCTCTGGCTGGCCCCAGAGTGGGGTGGGAATGGAGATTTTGCAATATCCTTCCCTCAGGACTGGGGAGGGAATGGGGATTTTGCAGTATCCTTTCCCTGCCATGCCCACCAAGCCACACCCACCAAGCCACACCATGCCCACAGAACCGGTAGTAAAAAAAATTGGATTTCACCACTGCCCCAGAACCTGGGCATGTGGCTTTAGCACAGAATCTGAGCATGCGGGAGTGCTAAGCCAGGACCCCGATGTATTCCTGCACCTCTAAACTCAGTTATTGGAGAACCTGATGGCTGTGACTGAAACAGCACCCCAGCTGGCACACCAAGGTTTACACGGAAGACGTGGCAATAACTAGGTAACCCATGGGTGTGGCACTCTCCCAGTTCCCGAGGGGTGCCAGGCGAGTGAAAAACTCTAGAGCAAGTAGGGGAATGGTCCATGCCTACCTTAGGTTGAGTTTGCGTTCCTCATCGCTGCCAACGTCCAGCTGATGGGGGGGGGGGGGGAAAGCAAGAATTAAGCCCAGCACAATCTCAGTCACACTTCCAAAGAGCTGCAATGAAAGACGTATTCCTGGCGGCCCACCTACCTTCCGAGGGCTTGGAGGAACGCCAGGGCTCCTCCTGGAAGGTAGGTTAGGCAGATGGGGCATCTTAAGGCCATCCGGTGGGATTTAATAGTGTCTGCTACAAGCCTTGTTCCCTTACCTCCAGCTAAAGGGGCCCTCATCTCCCATCATCTTGGCAATGCTGGGAAAGGCTCTCGGCTCCTGTGGTCGTAATTTCCCCATGCATTAAAATTAGAGGCTTGCATTGATCTTCAGGAGGGCTCCTGCCTGTCTCCGAGGTTTAATTCTGGATTCAGTTCCTTGATTTGGGCAATCGTGCCCAGCCACAGTCTCCAGCCGGGCCCTCCACGGAGCTTTGGGCTACATTTATTCTCCCCTTTGGCGATCAAGAACTTGGCAGGGAAAGTCAGAGGTGATTTAAGGCTCTGCTGTTTTGTTTTCAGCTCCTAATCACAAAGGGCTGCCTGGCTGGAAGGAAGGTTTGCCTTTCCAACAGGGGAGCAAAGTCACTGGAAGGGCTTGGAAATAAAGGGGGGAGATGCCGTCCCCCCCAGCCCCATCCAGAGCCCCTCACCCCCAAACCGCCTGCAGGGAGCCTCCCCCCACTCCGGGCAAGGCCCCCCCAGCAGAGCTGGCCCACCCCTCCCCCCTTCCCAGTCCCCCCTGATTTTAATCCCAACTTTCCCAACTGTAGCCGCGGGGAATAGACCCCCCCACACCCCCCCCTCCTTGCCCAGCGCCCCACCTTCCTAGCCAGAGCAGGAAGGGGGTTCAGTTCATTTAGGGCAGGAGGGTCAGGAGAGACCCCCCCTCACTTCAAGGCCGGCAAAATCCGGGCTCAGCCTCTTGGGGGGTGTGCCGAACTCCCCGGGGACAGACCCGGCCCCCCAACGCCTCGCCATCCCCTCCCCCGGGGGAGTTTCCCGTGGGAACCAGACCCCCCCTCTTTAAAGGGGGGCAAACCTCCGCTGGCGTCCCTGCGGGCACAAAGGCGGGCGGGGGGGGCGGGGGGGCTGCCGAGGGGGGCGGAGGGTCCCGGCCTGAGCGGGGGGGCGGGCGGGGGTCTCACCTCGCTGGCGCTGGCCGAGGAGGAGGCGGCGCTGGGCGTGGGCGAGCGCTGCAGGGTGACCAGCGCCATGGCCGGAGCGGCGGAGCGCGGGCGGCAGCCAGGCCGGCCGGGGAGGAGCCTGCCGGGCGGCGGAGGAAGCCGCCTCGCGCCCGGGGGCCGCCGGAAAGGGCTCGCCCCGCACCCGCCGAGGAGGAGGAGCAGCCGGCAGCCCCGGCCCTGGCCCCGCATCGCCCCCGAAGGAAGGGAGGAAGGAAGGAAGGAGGAAATGGGAGAAGAGAAGGAGAAGAGGATGGAAGAAAAGGAGAAGAAGGGAGGAAGGAAATGGTAGAAGAGAAGGAGAAGAGGAGGGAAGGGAGGGAGGAAGGAAGGAAGAGATGGAAGGAGAAGGAGAAGAGGAAGGAAATAGAAGAAGAGAATGAAGGAAGGTGTGGAAGAAGAAGGAGGAAGGAAATAGAAGAAAAGGAGAAGAAGGGAGGGAGAAAGGGATGGAAGGAGGAGGAGAAGGAAATGGAAGAAGAGAAGGAGAAGAGGAAAGAAGGAGGAAGGAAGGAAGGAAGGGATGGAAGAAGGAGAAGAGATGAAAACAGAAGAAGAGAAGGAGAAGAGGAAGGAAGGGAAAGAGGGAAGGAAGGGAAGGAAGGCCCCAGTGGGCTTATTTCCCTGTTGGTTTCAGGAGAAATGCCCTCAGTCCCCCCCAGTGATGCTTGGGGGTGGTGGGGTAGAAGGCCAGGCGACTGGTTCCTCCTTCCAGGGTGCTGACAGCTCCCTAAATTCTTGACTGCCAGGTGCAGAGTCTCTGCAGTTCTCCCATGTGGGGTTTGTCCCCACACCTGCGCAGGAGGCCCTTGCAAGAAATAGGGGAAAGATGGGGAAGCGGATTGCCAATTTCAGAAGCAGCCCCCATCTCCAGAAGGACGGCACACAGCAGGGTAAGGAAAGGAGCTAATAATCCACAGTACGGCAGTAAGACATCTGGCTCTAGATTGCAATTGAAGCCTCTGTTATCTGGAGCAAGGAGAGACATGGGGAAAATTTTGTGGGCATTTTTCCAGATGTGAATGAGGTGCAGATGAGAAGTTGGAGGGGGGAAATAATCAGCAGGGATAACTATTGGGGACTATTCACTAGATATGAGAGCATTGATTCAAGATTCGTGGAAGAAAATGGACCAGATTATATGGAGGAGAGCCTGGGGGAAGGAACGTTTGCTAGATACGGAAGCCTGATCAATTCTGACTTGGGTTTGAGGAACGTCTTTTAGGGGGTCCCAGCAGATCTTTCTAGAAGAATTCTTCTTTTTGTCTTGCAGTTGTAAACAGAGGTGCTCCGGATGGGATGGAAGGAACATTTCTTTCCATCTCAGCCCAAAGAGTCCAGAGATGGTCACCTCAGACCAACCTGGATGGTGCCACACTAGGTAAGAAGTTGTCTCACTTGGTTTACTTTGTGTTGAGGACACTTTTGCTTCAGAAAGGAAGCAGACCCTGTGCTGGACACAAGAGGTCACTCCTGATCAGGAAAGCCGAGTCTGGTGGAGCCTGGCCAGAAGCTCTTGAGTTACGCCTTGCTTCTCTCTGCCCCCAAAAAAGTTTATTGGCACAGGAGAAACCGAAGCTCCACCTTATGGCCTCATTATTCTGCTGGAGGGACCTTTGAGCAACGCACCAAGACGTTCCCAGCTTTCTTCCTGCAAGGAGCTGCACCCTGTTGAGCAAACAGCTGCGTGAGAAGACTTTCCTGGGCCTGCGGATTGCCACGGTTAGAAGGTTCCGTCTCTCGCCTGGCTTCTTTGGGGTTGTGAGAATGAAATTATGACAAAGCAGTTCGGGGCAGAATGTAGCTCCCTGGGGGTTGTGGTCTTGCAGAAAATAGACTCTGGAGATTTAGCAGAGAGAGGAGCTGGCCTGCCGGACTGAGAGAAGAGGCAAAACTCTTTTGCTGAGATTGCTCAAAATCTAGCTTTTTTCCCCCAAGAGTGGCTTGGCAGCTCTTAAAAGGTCTTCAATCTTTTGCACTTATTGCAAATTACCACAGAAAGAGCATGTGTTGAAGGTGGGGGCGGGGGGGCGGGAACTGCAGGGTGGTGTCTTCGTCCCCGTGAAAGCTTAGAGCAGGAGTGGGCAACCTGCTGTGTCCAGGGGGAATTGCCCCAACCCAGAATTCTCCTGCCTGGCCTGGAGATGGCCAGGACACCAGGATATCATTGGAGGGACTGATTTGCAGCAGTTGGGGGGGCTGGAGAAGTCCGAAGGGCAAAGAGATGCCCAGGACCCATTTTACACTCCCAGAATAGAAAAATGTGATATTTTTCTTTGAGAATTGTTATTTTTTAGGGGGTGCAACATGGTCTCCCTTTTTGCCCCTTCCAGACTTGCCATGCGTGTCGCCGTGATCGGAGCTGGGGTGATGGGTCTGTCCACAGCCCTTTGCATCCATGACCGATATCACTCTGTTTACCAGCCACTGCAGCTGGAGATCTACGCGGATGAATTCAGCCCTGGCACGACCAGCAGTGGGGCCGCCGGCCTTTGGCAGCCCTACCTGTATGACAAAGGAAAGACGCAGGAAACGTAAGAGCAAACGCTCAGCTCCCCTTGCCAGGGCCAGCTGAGTTCCTCCTGCGCCTTTCAGATGACCAGGGGCTGAAGCCCACCCCACTTTGACCATGCTGGCTAAAGAATTCTGGGAGTTGAAGTCCATCCATCTTCAAGGGGCAGAGGGTCAAACCCTTCCTTGTTTTTCAAAGATCCCTCGGTGAAAAGTAAAGTGTTCAGTGGGTTAAATGTGAAGAGAAACTTATAAACAAGGTAGTTTTTTTTTTCCTTTTGACCTGGTAAAACATTTACAATCAATCTGCTGATGGAGGAGGATCTGTGCCAATGTTCACATGTGGTTCCTCCTCTAATACCATTGCCCCAAATACATCTCAGCTGTGCCTTTCTACAGCCTTCCTACCTGCCAACAGTTTTGCAATTTCCTCAAGTTCAAATTTGAAGGAAGACGTCTGATCCCGTCTTATTTAATATTGCAGGATCTGGAACAAAGAGACTTTTGATTATCTGCTCCGACATGTTAATTCACCAGAAGCCAAGGAGATGGGGCTGTTTCTGATCTCTGGATACAACCTCTTCAGACGACCGGTTCCCGTAAGCGGTTGGCTTAAAAACGTCTGAGCTATTTTCTCAACGCAAGCTTGTTCCTCTTTGGAAGGCTGGAGTGAAGTATAAAGACGGTGTTTCCAGACTGACCTGGAGTTTTGCTTTTGAGGATTTCTGATCCCCCTTCCTTTCCACCTTGTCATGCAAGGAGCAAAGAGGTTTCCAACCGGTGGGAAAATAAATTCAGGAGCGTTGCAGGCAGAGAGTTCTTGATTGGGGCAGGGGGGGGGGGGGGGGGGGGATGACATTGCCAAGACTTTTGGTTCAAGACTTATTTATTTTGCATTTGTGTAAGATTCTATTTCTCCCTTGTCTTACCTCGGTGTCTTTCTCTGCAGGATCCATCATGGAAGCATATTGTCTTGGGATTCAGGAAACTGTCCCAGAAGGAGCTCGAGCTGTTCCCCGGCTACAGGTATTAGACAGCCTCTTCTCTTGGATTTGGGAACTGTTGTAGACCAATGTTTCTCAACCTTAGCTGTTTGAAGATGCGTGGAGTTCAACTCCCAGAATTTGTATCCATATTTTTTGTTTTGGTCTTCTTTTTCCCTAATTTCAGCTTCGGTTGGTTCAACACGGCCCTGATCTTGGAGGGCAAAGTCTATCTCACCTGGCTTACAAACCAGTATGTATGAGTCTTCTTTTTCTTGCTATCTACATTTGGCAACTCTCTGGGTTTTAGGTAGTTCGGATTTTATTCTCATGGTGACAGAGTGGGTGGCTGGGGAAGCTGGTTGGGGCCTTTGATTAAATCTTTAATCATGTGGTGGCCTTGAAAGATAAATTGGAACCCTTGTCATTCAGCTAATAATGACTGGCTAGCCTCAACCTTCCATAGTCAGAGATGTTAATAGCTTGGAAAAACTAGTTGTGGTTGGAGAAAAGGAAGAACAGTTGCCTTCAAGCCCTGCTGTCCCTCCCCCAAAACCCCAGAGCCAACAGGAATGTCTGTCAAACTCTTCTGCTGACAATCCTCCATTGCTCTTAAAAGGTTGGCCTCACGGAAGGTCCAGTTCTTCCATCGGAAAATTAAGTCCTTCCAGGAGGTGAGTTGGGATCTATGTAGAGCTGGCTGAGAATGGTGGAAATTAAAAACCGTAACATCTGGAGGGCACCAAGTTGAGAAAGTCATTCTAGTCCAGTGTTTCTCAAATTGGAGATGGGTGGACTTCAGTTTGAGAAACACCACTCTGGGCAGACGGGGGGGGGAGGGGTCTTGTATGCCTGAAAAGCAAGATGGGGACTGAATCCACTTACTCTCTTCTGTTAGCTGACCGCTGAAGGAGTGGACGTGGTGGTCAATTGTACCGGAATTCGTGCCGGAGAACTACAGACTGACCCTGAGCTGCGTCCAGGCCGAGGACAGACCATCAAGGTGAGGCCTGGGGGAGTTGGTCAACAGGGCTGGTGGAGGCAACCTGTGACATATCCTAGTGGGACAGCACACTTGGACGTTGGGCGTTGAGGAAGGCTGGTTTGAACCTTCCCAGAAGGCCCTCAAACCCTAGAGACAAGCAGGGAGGGAGAGGCGGGTGTTGTTTGCTGGATAGAGATGGGCAGTTGTTTAAACAAATAAATATAGTCGTCTTTGTGACCTGCTGCTTGTCACAACAAGCCAGGAGAAAGCAGAGAAGTTGTTTCTTCTGGCCGTGCTTTGGCAGGTTGCACCAGTGCTCCATCTGGCTCCTTCCTGACCTTCGTGCTTATTCTGGATCTCTAGGTCGAGGCCCCCTGGGTGAAGCACTTCATCATCACCCATAACATTGATGCTGGGATCTACAGGGAGCCCTACATCATCCCCGGGTAAGGAAAAGGCAGTGGAGAGTGGCGGGATGATCAAGGTGGATCCAACTAAGGCATTCCAGCTGCATCTCCTGGGATCAAGTCTTCTCCTCCTATTGGAATCCGGTGATCCTGTATTCTTAAGATTGAAGGGAGGCTCCCCCCATCTTCTGCCGATATCCTTCCGTGAGAAGGGAAGGCAATTTGACCCCCAGCTTCCTCTTAACTTGGTGGCTTCCAGGGGGTGGACTCTGACCATGCTGGTTCAGCAGGATGAGAGCTGTAACCTAACCCACCTGCAGGACAAGAGACCGAGGAAGGAGGTCAGGTCCTGATTTAAAATCGTTCAAGACTGACTGTTCCTCCCTCCTCTGTTCTTGGCAGGAGCCGTACGGTGACCTTGGGGGGTATATTTCAGCTGGGGAACTGGAGTACAGAGAACAACCCAGAGGATCGTAGAAAAATCTGGGAAGGATGCTGCAAGTTGATGCCCAGCCTCCAGGTAGATCAGCTCAGCCAAGATGGGCCAAGGCTGTTGGGAGAAACACTTGCATTCTCCCCATTTCCCTAGGCAGGGAAGGAAGTCCCTGTGGAAGCTCATCCAGGGTGTTTAGTGCCCCATAGCCTGAGGGAGCATTGGGGTCTGAGGATAAGCTGCTGGATGTAATTCTTCCAGGAAGCCAAGGTAGTCGAAGAATGGAGTGGTTTACGCCCATCACGCCCTGCCGTCCGGCTGGAACACGAGACCATTCGCCACGGGACGCTCCGATCAGAGGTAGCCGTTTTTCTGAATGAAAAGGATTCCAGGAGATGTGGTAGATTCAGTCTTGCATCTCATTTACTTCTGTGCTTTGAAGTTCCCGTTCTTTCCCTTTCAGGTGATTCACAATTACGGTCACGGAGGGTTTGGGCTCACCATTCACTGGGGGTGTGCCATGGAAGCAGCCAAACTCTTTGAGAAGATCCTGGAAGGTCAGAAGTTGGCCAAGCCACCTCGGGCAAATCTTTGAACAAGTGCAAAGGTGTCGCAAACCTTTCCGTGTAGGTCTGGGGGTTTTTTTTTGCCTTCCATCTTACAAAGGGGAGCTAATCTTGTCAAACTTGGGAGTCTGGTTCCTTAAGAGTATTTGTAACTGGACTCCCCACTTTGGCTGGGCACACAGAGTAAATAAGACAGCTGTTTGGGATTGGTGAGGTGTTCCAAGATTTGTGAAGCCGGTCCCTCTTTTCTTTCATCTCAATTTAGGTTTTTGGTACAAAAAAATGTCCTAAATGTTGATGGAACAACATGGAGAGCTGCAGGTGGAAAGTTTGTAACCACAACAATTGCATGGATTCCCAAGTCTAAGTACAGATAAACCTCAAACTTTCCACGTGGATGCTGGGTTTTATTCATAGGGAACTGATGAACAAATGTGTTCAAGCAGAGGGCAAACAATTATCTGACAGTAGCCATTTTTGGATTCTTTCTCCAGACAGGAGGCTGGTCCCCCTTCTGCTCATACAACTTTCTCTCACCCTTTTTCTTCTCAAATAACAATTAGATCTGCTTCCCGGTCCATATTCCCTTTCTAGTGGAGTTGTCCTCTGTTAAAACTTACAAGACGGAGCCTTTATTTATGTTTACATATTACTTTCTTAGGTAACTTCTTTTTTATCTCTTAAAAATATGTGAGGGTTGACTCCAGTAAACTCATTACTTAGCGTGAGATTGTCCACCTGAGTAAATCAGGATAAATGGATAATTCAGGGTTGTCCAACCCTGGCAACTGGAAGACCTGAGGCCTTCAACTCTCAGGATTCCCCTTGCTGGCTGGGGAATTCTGGGAATTGAAGTCCACAAGTCTTCAAGTTGCTAAGGTTGGATACCCCTGGGCTTACTGCTGAAGTGATCAAAATCTGATGCATCCAAATACAGTTGAAGAAGTCTCCAGAGATGCATTGCAAGCAGGAGAGAACCTTCCCTTGCAGTTTAGAGCGGGCAGCAAAAGGAAGTGACCAGCTTCAGCAGAGCCTGATGGAGAAGGAGCATCCCAGGTCCTGACAGATCAAGCAGAAGAGCTGTTCTGAGCAGCTCCGGGCAAACCACCAGGGACATCTCCAGCTGCTTTTCACCGATTCTAGTTTTCCATTGTGCACTTTGCAGCACCAGCTGCAAATTTCCAGAAAAGAACTGAGAAGACTCTTCCCTAAGGGCACTAGAGCTGTGGTGAGTTTTCAGTTTGATGGTGGACGCTTCCTTGGGTGGACGCAATGCCTTCTTTTGAGGGAGTGAGAATGCCATAATCCTCCTCCTTATGAAAAACTACTCGTTTATTCAACATAAAATATCCAGTGTGGAATTGCACTGCCTAATGGTGTGTAATTAACGGAGACAGATGAAAATATAGTAGTACAAGAAGCTCAGGATACAGAAATCTTGAGAACACACGTCACAGTTAGAAACTGTACATTCGAACATAGCAGACACTTAAATAATACCCCTCTGCCCCAAACACTGAGAAATACAAATACCATTCCACACAGCATATACAGCAAACGCTCCCCAAAGCTTTGCCAGTTAGAGAACTGGAGAACCCACAGAGTCCCAAACACCACAACTGAAGGTCAAATGGCATTGTTGCTTCTTTTTTTAATGAACACACCAACAGACCTCGGTGTGTTTAGAGCCCTATCTTCGTTACATACGTCGGTGAATTTCTGGCATTAAAATGCTCCTCAAATATGAGAAGGCCAAAACTTATGGTCAGAAAGGGGGGAAAAAAAGTGACAGCACAGATTTCCAGGTCAAGAATCGGAAGCTTGCAAAATCGGTTTGCATCGTCAGGGAAAAATCTAATCAACTTAAATAGCCTGTGACAACCTCTTTTTGATCATCATTTTTGTGTCGGCGTGAAGCTGCTCTATCTGTACAAGTAGTTTGCACAACTAACAGAACTTACCTACAATTTTAAGTAGCAGTTGGTAAATGTTCCAGATCTCAGAAAGCCATTCATATCCATCAAAAGAGAGAATTCTTTATAGGCCAAGTGGGAGTGGTCACACAAGGAATGAAACCATCTTAGTAGAAGCCACTCAGCCCTAAACATGTTAGAAGTTGCCTGCGTGAGCCTCTGGCACACATGCACACACACACACGTCATAGCTACAAAAGTGCAGCCTCCTTAAATACCACCTGAGGCTTCCCAGTCCAGATATGATGGCCAGATGATGTTTTTCACCTCAGCTGGCCCAGCCAAAGCCTGCTAGGCATGATGGTACCTGTTTCCATCTGAACAGGTGGAAAAATGAGGAGGAATGTCTAGAAACGAGGCCCTCGTCTTCTCTCCTGTCTACGAACCGTTGGCCTTTGTGGGGTGCCCAGGGACAGAAAGAGGATGGCTAAGATGGATGTCTCTGGAGGACCACCAGGGCATGTACCCATTCTTGGGCCTCTCTGTTGTGGAATGTGGATAGCAACCCAGAGGAACCATCACCATTATGAGTTGCATGAAGACAGAATCTGCTCCCTTCCATTTTACTGGATGAACCTAAATTCAAGAGAGAATATTTTTCCTGTAATGATCTCACTCTGCACCATTTGCTAAACTTACAGGCATTTTCTCCTCTAGTTTCCTCCTGAGAAAAACACTTCAACCTTTGGGTCACCTGGGTGGACTTTTCCTGCGGCACCACCTTTCTTTGGAGACGGGGCAGTCATAACCGTATGCTGTGTTTCCAAATTTCCTTTTTTTGCAGGATTGACTTCAATATCCAAGGAAGTTCTCCATCGGTGAGGGGAACAGCTTTTATCCGAATGCCTGTCCACCCTCACAATCTCAGTTGCCAAGGAGATTCAGCTAAATTAGCGGTTTGTGGGCCTTGACAGTTCATGGTGATAGAAAGAGTGCAAGGCTGCTAATCAATTCACAAGTGCCTTTGAGCTACTCTAGGCGTGAGTACACATACATATGAACCCGTTTGCTTCCCAGGGTTGAAGACATGAAGTGTCTTGTGAAGAATGGAGTCCTTGAAGGCATGGCCATTGCTTGTGTGAGATGGAGAAGTTCCCTTGGCAACAAGAGCAAAACCCGGTTCTCCTGTTGTCTATGTCCACCATGAAAAACGTGGTAGAAATTTGGGGCTAGACTTTCCTCTTCAATGCACACAAACACACACACACTTTCATCTCCCAGATGGAATGCCTCTCCTTGCACGTGGGGGTGGTGAAGATGCAAGCAACAAAGGATCCAGGACAGGTTGACCATCCCTTCTTTGGGCCAAGGATGGTAGTGAGATATTGCACTTCTCGGGAGTTGGAAGTGTTGACTTCCTCCAGGTGGGGCAATCACCCCTGAGAGCCAGAGTTTGATTGGGGGACGCCACGCCCAAACATCTCCTGCCCCCACTCCTTGTGGGTGGATTCCTGGAGGCCGCGGCCTCTGGTTTCGATGGGAAGCAAGCAGGAAGCCACAGCTGCTAAGATGCAGCACCCGCTGTAAACGATCAGCGTCAAATAGACCGAAGACTCCAGCATCACCTGGAAATGGAGGTAGAAGAAGATCAGCAAAGAATGGTGTCCTTACCATGATTTGGACAAAAAAGGACCCTCCAGGCTTGGTCAAATCTCCCAGGGTTAAATTAAGTTGAATGGACAAGCCAAGCTCTTGGCTGTGATTGATTAGGGACCTTAGGGTGTTGGAACTTTGCAATAATATGGTGACAAAGATGATGGCTTCCTATTCAGAGCAGTCTAGGTAGATGAAGCGCAAATACAGGGAAATGTCCGCCTTATATCTGAAGAACTGAGAAGGTAGGCAACCTCATCATGATACGTAGCTCTTTGTGTGCGCCCTCACAATTGTGTTGTTGAAGGGTCTTTAGAAATATATATTGGAGAATGAGATGCAGCTTAAAGAACATTTCGTGAATCGGGAGGGGTTGTAGCAAATCTAGCATGAAGATCCAGGCTCTGCCCTTTTATTGCTAGAGCTTCCTTTCAGAAGTCTCTAGAACCCCTGATTCATTGGGATGTCCCAGGACAGGATTGGGTCAAGGGAAGCCCTGAGTTGCCACTAGGAGGCGTCCTTGCTTTACCTGGGCAATGAAGGGTGTGATGAGGGCACCAACTCTGGCCACTCCACTGCATGTCCCCAGGCCCAGGGCACGGGTGGCGGTTGGGTAGACCTGTTGAGAAAACCATGGCCGCCTTGAGGCTCCCTGCCCACTCTTGGGCTTGCTGCCGCTGGCGGTCCCTTGGCCAAGCCCTCTCCCTCACCGTTCTCCAACACCGCTACTAGCTGGAGAAGAGGTGCTTTCCCTTCCTACCTCGGGGGTGTAAACATACGCAGCCTGGAATCCTCCCGAAATAAAGGCCCTGGCGATGAAGAGCAGCACGGTGAGCACCTTCCTATATGAAGAGAGGGTGGCTTGCTTTTAGAGAGACAGCCCATGTGCCAGAGTCTTTCCCTTGCTGTCCCTGGAGGAACCTCAACTGGGGGGTGAGTCTTCTCTGGATCCCCCGGACTCACCTTCCGACACAGAGGAAGAGCAAGAGGCTGCAGAAGGCAAAGACCAGAAAGGAAAGCGCCATCGTCTTCTTGCGGCCGATCCGGTCAATCACCCACAAGGTCACAAGAACCCCTGGAGGAGGAGGAGAAGGAAAAGGAGAAGCAGGAGGAGCCTTAAGGCCATTTCATCACCACCAGTGTCTGGGTACGAGTGCTAATCCTTCCAGGTTGCAGGAGAAATGGAGTCACCTTCAGCATGGCAATGTCTGGCCAACCACTGGCTCCAGGTTGGGTTATCAACTTTTCTGAACTTGTTGGCCAAATCAAATCGGAGGACATTTTCCCCAAGAGCCATTTCTAAGAGCAGAATCTCTTAGAGATTCACACATCTCCAGAGTGACAGCACCACGTGAGATAGTTTCACTGAAGTCAAAGGAGGATCTCTCATTTCTCCTTGCAACCTCTCCCCAAAAGACTTTGGGATGATCTGGGAGAGGGAAGTGGGGGCCTCAAGACCATAATCACCATTTCAATGGAAATGAGTGGAAATGATCAACATATCTCTTTGAAAAGAAAATTACAGAGGCCAATATTTATTCTTAAATTGTGTTTAGCATCTTGGATAATGCAGCTAAATCTTAAAAGTATGCTGGCAGCGTGTCAGTTTTAATTGGGCATGAGATGGGGAGCTAGGTACCCACTGGATTAATATCTGAGATCTTTCTTCTCAACCACGGTGGGGCCAAAAGGACGAAGAGGAGGGTCAGAATAACCCAACACAAGCTCCTCCTTTCCTTCTGGTATCATGCCACCTCTTGCCCCTCCCTCAGTTGCAGACCCCCATGGGCACCCCTTCCCCTTTCCGAAGGTCCACCTGGGAACTCGGAGAGGGTGGTCCAGAGCAGATCGATGTAGTCCTTTTCCGTCAGAAATTCACACGCCAGGCTGCATTTGGCCTTCACCGTTTTCCTCCTGTTGGACACTTGGATGGAGAAGGAGAAAGAGAGGAGGGGGAGGAAGTGAGGTCTTGAGCCCCCACCCTTTGCTGGATAGCCAACCTTGTGCCCTGTGGCCTGGCTGTGCTCTTTTGCTCACTGTTGGCAGAATCCCCCTCACTCAACCATCACCAAGGTTGATCCACCAGATGCCCACAGGGTGACCAGCCCACCCAGCACAGACTTTAGGGAACCCCGTGCCCCTGTGAAACGCTCATGCAAGTTGCCCTTCCAGGTATTGAGAGGGGCTGCTGTCCATCCTAGCAGGCCACTGGCTGAATGGGCCTCTTGTCAATGGTCCTTCTTGACCTCAACTGAGGAACCAGGTAGAACCATCCACTGAATAAAGCTTCCCCAATCTGGTGCTGGACAGGACAGAGAGGAGGCTCCTGCTTGTTTTAGTGAAAACTTCAGAGATTAACTCTAGGCCAGGCTCTCCAAACTTGACAACTTTAAGATTTGTGGACTTCAACTCCCAGAATTCCTCAGCCAGCAGTTAAACATGGTGGCCAGGACTGGAGAATTAGCTGGGAATCAGAAATAAGGCAGCCAAGAATCGGAAACCAGCAGCTGGTGGAAAGAGCAGTATAAAAAGGTGATGCTACTGGAGGGCAGAATAGATGGCCACTGAAGTGCCCACTGAGGAGTCGGGCAACCATGAACCTCCAATGTCTTCCCTCAGAAGACCTCTTTGGACTGGCCTTAAGGCAAAGGGCATTCTGGGCGTATTCTCTCCCCACTCGGTTTGACTCACGGCTGCAAAGGTCTCCTGCTTGGAATAGCTCCGTGGTCAGCAGGACGAGGCCATAGTAAGAAAAAGCATTGGAGAACCTGTGAAGAGCAAAGGGAAACCTTCAGAAAATGAGATGCCCTCAAAGGGAAGCATAAAACAACAACGGGGCTGTGTAAAACAGCTATCAGCACCCAAGAGGGAGGTACTACACCACCCAGTTCCATCTCACTGCAGAGGAGCCGAGACCTGCTCTGAGATGGTCCCCAGATGTTCTGCATCTGTCTTGTAGCAAAGTTATTAAGCTCTGATTTAACCCACCTCCTGGGAGACTTCAGCAAGTAACTGCTTTACTGACTTCTTAGTGCTGTATGTCTGTTTCTTCACTCAGGTTTTTACTATTTAAAAAGCCTTGGCAATTTATCAGTTGTAAATCTTTCCAGCGTTGGTCTCAATGGGGTCCTCAGGACTCCCCTGTAGTGAGACCTCTGGATGAGGCATTTGTGCTGAGGGGCCCATAAGGCACTACCTGGCCCCATAGGCCTATGACTTCTCAGATGACCATCTAGGGTAGACAGAAGGTCCCAAGGGAACTGCTTGTCAACGGCCAGACCTCCTCTCCCTTCAGCCAAATTGCCTGTAGGCCACCAGCCCACCTGGGCGAGGGGTCAAGCCAGATTTCCACGCAGCCTTGCCGTCTTACCAGATAAACCACAGCAGAAGCGTCGTCAGTCTGAACTGTGGTGTGAATAAGTCCCTCATTTTCCCTCGATCTTCCTGTTTGGAAACAACAATTTTTGGTGCCGTCTCAACAAACAGCATAAAGTCAGGTGCAAATGTGCAGCTCCAGGTTTCTTGGGTGAATACTGGAACCAGAAGCCACACAGGCAAGGGTTGCAGGTCACCAATCTCTGAGGTGTGTGGCATGAGCGAGGAACGCTGTTAAAAAAGTTTGCCAGCAACTGCCAAGTATGGAACACAAGCCCTGTTTATAGTGAAATCCGGGTTCAAATGCATCCGGGTTTTTTCCTACTGATGCCTGCCTTTGGATTTACTGCCGGTGGGATGTTTTCTCAGCAGTTTAGAGAAAGGTGGGGTAGAAAATTAGTCAAACCAAACCGTCATGAAGACAAATGGTTCCCATCCCTTCCTCCTCAAGACTTGGGATGGTCATGAAGACCTTCTCCCGAACTCACCTGCCTAGACATAATCAGTTTCCCCAGAGGCATCGGGGCGCCATTCTCAGTTGCAATCCTTTTCAGTGTAGCAATGGCCTTTTCTTGGTTACCGGTTAATACATCGTATCGGGCACTTTCTGGCAGCCACTGCAGGAGACAAGGAAGACCATGAGATGTTGCCCAACCTGATGCCCAACCTGAACCTCCTATCTTGTCAAACCTGCCAGCTGGAAGCAAAGTGGGGTGGTAATCTGACACTTCTTGAGGACACGAGGCTGGGGAGCATCTCTAAGGCTTAGACTATCTAACTACCAAGGAAGGAAGATCAGAGACTTTGCTCCCAGAAAGAAAACGTACAAAACACAAGATGGCAAACAGCATAAGAGGGAGAGCTGAAAGGATGAGCAGCCAACGCCAGCCAAGGGTGGGCATTACAAACAATGCAAGGAGGACTTCAAAGACGGTTCCGATGGCCCAGAAGACCTGTCCATGGAAAGGAGGAAAAAACAGGAAGGGTTATTCCAATGGATGAGTTCCAAGGTAGATTAATTGCCTTAGCTTTTGATGGCCACCATTGGTGGAAAATCTGTTCTGCGTGACTTGCTCACATGGCACACTCCCAACCAATGTGGCAGCTCTGGAGCCGCAAACAATGAAATGGGACAATGATGGACCCTGAAATCTCTACTCCTCAGCATTTCATTTTGGATTTCTCTGTCATCTGGAGTCTGCCTTTTCTCCACTCACCTCAATCAGCAATATGCACTTTGCTCTGGATTTCATGGGGAGGAATTCTGCATATAATGTTACCCTGGAAAGAATAAAAATATCAAAGAGATAGATTGCAGCGTTACAACAATAGTGGTCCTGATAGCCAGTAAAACTGTTGACTTTTTATTGAAGCTCCAGTGAGAACATTCAAAATCACTTTATCTGACTTGGTGATGGATTCAGAATTGGGGAGTCATGGGAAGATGGTAGCCATTTCAAGCAGGCCTTTCCAAAGTCTGGGTTGGGTCTGGACAAAGGGAGGGTATACTTACGACTGAGGGACGCCTCCAATCCCAAAGCCCACCAAGCCCCTCAGGACCAAGATCCAGCTGTAAACTGGTGCAAATCCACTAAGGACTCCGTAGTACAAGGTCCAGAGCACGCTGATCTTCAGCCCCTGCGCAGAAGGAAGAAACGCCAAGAAAGCAACATTGACTGCTCCCAGGACGAAAATCCCAAACTTTCCCCTTAGGGTTAACCTGCAGAACATATAGGAGATAATCCCTGAGCCTGTAAATGGGATGGCGGATGGGAATTGCAGAGGACTGAGATGGTAGTTCATACATCTGGAAGGATGCTGAGTAGAGTAACGATGGTTTAGCATTTAATACAAGGGGACAAGCAAATATCCCAAAGGCGTGTGGAGACTTACGGTTTTTCTGCCATATTGGTCTGAAATATTTCCCCACAGTGTGGAACTAAACATCATTCCCAGGAAAACCACCTGCAAGGAATGGACAAAATGCATTTGCCAGGTGCAAGCTGAAATGTGGATTTCCGAAGAAGACGACTTCCTAACGATGAAGGAACAAGAGGCTTCGCAAAGAGGCATCCCACAGACTCTCTGCACAAGAGTTTTACAGGAGCCCTTGCCAGGTCTATGGTAAATAAACACAATTTATCAATGTGTTTGAATGTATTCTCCACCCAGCTCTAATGGTCTCCTTCTCGGAGCGTTAAAAATCACAGAAGACAATAAAGGATAGAAGGTAACTAAAGGAGAAGGAGAAATGTAGAAGGATGAGGTAAGTTGGCCACACCTTCAAAAATACCAATGCAACATACTGGGGTGTAGGTGAAATGCATTTATCAGGCAAAACATGACAAACAATCCTTAATCATTTTTGACTCATTAAATTCAATCCCTTATTTATTCAAATTTATTGATAATCTTCCATGGGCCCATGACTTCATGGAATGGAATTATCTGGAGGGAATCACCAGTGTCATTCTCTGCATGGGATATAACAAACATTGCCATAACAGTTCTCAGTGCCTGCAACTTCTTGTAAATTAATCAGGAAAACAAGCTCTTTATTCCCCTGAAAACAATGAAGCAGGTTCCTATCAGACAATAAATTGTCACAAGCATCATTGGTGGCCAAGTCCCAGATCCCAGCTGCTGAAATTAATTAGAGCAGGCCAAGATTCTCAGCAGATGTTATTGTTGCTTCGTCTCAAACAGTAAAGTGAGAAGCAAATCTAATACTGAAATTCAGCATGTGGGGTGTAGCTCAATGGGCCTGACAACCAAGGAGCCATGCATAGGAATGTCTACAGTTTACTTCTAGAAATGTCAAGAGTTTTTATGCTCCCTGCTTTATTAAAGTTGCTTGCTGAAAATAGTGGGGCTTTTTTTCCTGTGTTAACATCCCACGGCAACAAGGGGAAACCCCTTAGAGAATACAGGAGGAGCTGTGTGGTATTTTCCTACCGATGTGAGCAACGCAACCTGCCAGGTGGGTAATCGCCACTCACAATGAAGCTGAGGTGCCAAGATGCTCAGAATCATCATTTCCATGGCATCAGCCATCTGGAAGTGAAAGGAGACAATATTATCAACCCTTTGCTAAGGTCCTTCAGAACCAACGTGCCCCATTGCCTAGGTCAGGGGTCTCTAAACTTGGAAATTTAAGAAACTTAAAACTTAACTCTCAGAATTCTCCAGCCAGCCATGGGGGTTGAAGTCCACAAGTCTTAAAGCTGCCAAATTTGGAGACCCCCTATCTAGGTGGACCAGTCAAGATAAGCCCAGTCTTGCTTTGATCTAATACCTCCCAAGAACCCATCAAGAATGGTAGATCCATCTACTTGCCCATGCTAAGCCAGTCAGAACGGAGAGTTTCCACTGGAATTTGCCAAACCCAATTGCTTCCACCACGTCTTCCACCATGAAAGTATCTGGAAGGGAGACAAGTATGCCAGGAGACAAGGTGATTTCACTTTTTACGATCCCATTTCTAGGTTGCGTTCATGCACTGGACTCCCTATGACCACTTTGCTTTTTTTTCTCAAGGTCAAGGGCTAAGTGATCTACTCACCATCAGTTGGGTTGGCAAACTCCTTTGGCACAATGCTTCCATCTTCCAATTCTACAGCTTCTAAGTCAGTCTGGACACCCTCAATCTGAACTTCGTGCTCTCCTGACACGGTGTCCTCTTCGGATCGGGTGCTTTCTCCTGTCCGACGAAACTTGACAACTCTAGCAAGATGGAAGAGATTCCATGGAGGTTGGAAGAAACCAGAATCTGCACACCTTGCTGATACCAGACATAAGCTGAGGTCTTCTGCTGGGGAGTCATAGCAAGGTCTACTCTTGTCCAGATGTCAGATTTGCAGAGAAAGTTTCTATCTTTGTCTGAAGGAAGTTGTGCCAAAGGGTGTCTTAGAAGTGATAGCTCATGAAGTCAAAGAAATATGCAAGCTATTTAATGGTGAAGGTTCTTGATTGCTTGCCAGAAACTAAATCTGTTTCCCTGTGCAGATGGCAATGAATCCAGCAAAAGCTACAAGGTCAGTAAGTGCTGGGAATGCAAATATATATCCAAGATTTCAGACAATGACACTTAGGCTCCCAGCTGGCTAAATAAATACATTTGACACACACAAATATGAAGGGCCTGCTGTGGTTGCTTTGAGAAGGATATGCAGAGACTAAAAAGTATCTCCAAGAGAATATTTCATATTTCTTCAACCAAGAAGCAGAATTTATGTTGCACTGCTAAGTTATACTCTAGGGGAGCTTTCGGATGGGTAGGTGAGAAATGAGTTATTGGTATTTTGGTAATTTGAGAACAAGCAAGATATTGGGGTAGTGGGGTAGTATTAGGGTTGGGACAGAGGTAATAAGGATAAATACTACAATGGAAGAGAATAATTGTAGCTCAGAGTTGAACTATGGAGTCCTTGGTGCTCGCTGAACTTGGTGGTTTTCTTGCCAATGTTTCATCACCTAACTAGGTAACATCATCAGTGTTAAGGATAAACACTGGATTTGAAACCATCATGGCCATAAATGATCCCATCCTGGTTTTTGAGCACACCCAGAACCCAGAGTCTCCAAAGGACTGTAGGGTTTTCATGCTTTCCATCTATGGCTGCTCTTCATGCTTTGCCCATTCATATTTCATCAGCATGAATTATGCAAGAAGCTGACAGACAGACCCCTTTTAGCAACAAGGGAGCTTCCATTTGCAGAATGGAAAAGAAGGGCAAGTGCTTTATGGAGACCCCTGCCCAGAAATGTTAAGCTGCACTGACCAGACTGCCACGCCTAAAGGACCTTTACAGCATTATGGGAGCAATAATTTATCCCACAAACTATATGCACCTTAATAAAACCCATCCGAGGAAGAGAGGAGTAGCTACATGGCAGAAATATTGAGTCCATGTTAAATTGTTTACCAATTCCAAATAATTTGGTCATAGGAAGTCCACACTGAGTGCTTCCTGATCAATTTTGTGCCTCCCCCATGGCCAGCCTGCATATTCAAGAATCCATCAGCCTTATCAATTCTGAAATCTTAAAACTGGACCCCTCCTCACCTCCTTCATTTCACCAAGCAAAGTGGGCTGTAGCTACCACAATCTGGCTTGGCCTACAGAGGGGACTCTGAGTGAAGAAAAGCCAGGACTGATATCCAGAACTGAATCGGGCTCTTCTGGTTCTACCTTGAGATTTGGGGGTGGGGGGTTGGAGGAAGGGGAAGAGATTTGAGCAGGGCAAAATCCTGGTTCTCTGAAAGGGTTAGACTTCAGGAACCGTGCTCTGCTTTCTACCCACTACAGAAGCTTTCCATAGACTCTCTTTCTGGGATGGGAAGCATCTTTTAGAAAGTAAGACACTGTCTGCCAGCCTTAACCGGACGGAGCTGGAATAAAAGAAAACAGAGCCATCCCATGGATGTTGGGGAGGAACTGTGCTTAAATAGGCTTTGCCTAGCAAAGCTCTCAGGCGTCTGAGGTGTCTCCGTGGGATGCATTTGTATGCATTGAAGCACCTCGCAGCTCTGAAAGGAACTAATTAAGCCAACATGTAAAAGGCTTCTTCGCCCAGAAAATCTTGCAATTTGATCTGTGCCTGATCCAGCAGCCAGCAGTCAGCAAAATAAAAGGTTATTTCTTGACAGAGCCAGACTATCGCAAGCAGAAATTCAAATTCCTGCAAATGTGTGGGTGTCTCTGCTCACCACACGTATCTGAGGTGGAAGCATAAACTACCCCCCCCACTTCTGCCTAGCAATGCCTTGCATATTCTCCCAAGTCTTTCAAAGCCCCCCTCCCTCCTCCTCCTCCTGGGATCTCTCTGCAAAACCTGTAGTTGCAGGAGAAAGCAGAGGAATTCCTAGCCACCCCCATTCTTGCAGCATTCAGGAAGAGAAGGAAAAACATGTCCGGAATCTAAGATCTTCAGTTTCCATGATCACAAACATTTTGGCTGGGTCAAAATTCTGAAATTTCCCTTCAGAAAATAACACCTCCCACAAAAGGCAAAGTGTTGATCCTGGGAGGAAGCAAATTATGTTTTGGGCAGGGTTCCCCATGCAAGGACCCTCCAGTTGGTGGGACTATAACTCTCATCCATCAGCAATGGCTGGGAAGATCAGAGCGCTCCAGCCCCAGGCCTCTGGAGGGTCCCAGCTGTGGGGGCGGGAAGGGGACATTGCAAGCAAGGAATTCGGGACAAGGCACAACAGGGCTCTTTGCAATACCCCTCAAGGAACTGGGGCGCTCTCCCCACCCCGGGTTACTTACGGCAGTTGCCTTAGCTGGAACAAATCCTCCTCCATTGCAAAGGTGTGGCTGGAGGTCTCATCGCTCTTACATAGTGGGGAGAAGCAGGTGATTTCAGGAGGTTGCCGAGTAGGACAGCTCCCGTTGCAACCAGCCAGACTGCGCGATGCAAATCCAGAAGGAGGAGGCGAGCTCTGTACCAGCAGTAGCGGGGGAGGGAGGGGGGCAGCTTGCTTGCCTTGAAATCCTCCCCTTTTACTTGCTGGCTGCTCTCAGTTCGCTTTGCTGGCTGCAGGGCAATCTTCCGCCTCGCTTGCGAGAGATCTTTGCAATGCTCCAGGCAGGGATTATTAGAGGAAAACCTAGAGTTCTTGGGGGCAAAACACCCCAATCTAATACTGGGGCCCCGGTGGGGTGAAAGAGCTCCACAAGATGGACCCAGCTCTCCAAAGCTCCTCCTACAGCTGTAGGGTTTGCTGCAAGAGATGACTAAGAAGAGGTTTCTTGCTGGGGTGAAAGGGATTCCTGGGTCCAGAGCTGGAAATTTAAGCCATGCATCTCTTCTTTCCAGGGACTGAGCAACTGAGCGATGGAGGAAGCTTCCATCTTTTGCCTCTTCAGTAGCCTTCCAGGGCTGGGTGTTGAGGGTGGAGTGATTTGAGTTGAGTTGAATGAAATTGCAATAAAAATATTTTAGAAATAGTAAGAAACTAAACTCAGTTCAAAAAGATGAATGCATGTAGTGCGGGCATGAAAAGAGATAGGGAACAGCAAATAGAAGGAAAGACCAGGAGGGTCAGACAAGATCCTGAGTTTCCTATCAGAAGAAGCACCAGAACCTCCATTTAGACTAGAGTAAGTGTGCTTTGCCATAGCTTGGAGTAAACAACTGGTGCAATTATCATCTTATAGTCTCATGGTCAAATCTGCAATCTGAAATTAATGCACCTGCCTCAGAATGCAAAACTTGATGGCCCCCTCCCCAGTCTTATGCCTCTCAGATGTGTGGGTGTATGTGTGTTTCTGGAAGTTGCTCTCCCTTATCTGGAAGACAGAAAGTGAGGAAGGCTGCCTTCTGGCCATTGGGAGGCTTGAGCGCTCTGGATCTGTCTCAAAGAAGTTGTCTTGGATAACTTCCCAACTCTGCTTTTGGGTGTGTTGGCTCTTGCTTGGGCTGAGCAGGGAATCAGGAAAGCTGGCACTGGAGGCCAAAGTGCAACTAGATTGTAACGCACAGGGAGCCTGAAGCAACACGGTCTTGACCGGGATTTTGGACATATCAGCTTTTTTGTCCTCTTCTTGGATTGCTCCAGCTCATTGCAAGTTTTGTCCCCGATTGGCAAGGTTGCCTTAAATTCTAAATATATTAGAGAATGTGGTAGAGTTTGAAATGTCTCAGAACTGCTTTCCTTCATTTCTCAGACGCTGTTTAATATTTTGCTTCGACCCCCTTAAATATATTGAGTGTTTGCTTTCAGCTGGTGTTTGGGATGAACAATTAATAGTGCAGCTTTATTGCCTGAGGCTTAGTTCCCTCTGGACTCAGAGGGCTTACTACTCCCATGTAGAACTGAATCTACCATCTTTAAAGCCAATGCTTTAAAATTGCTTTGGTGCAGTTTAAAAAAAAACAGTTGATCTAGAATGCTGTTTTTTTTTTGTCTCTCTCTCTGTCTTCTCTTCCTCACGGGAAAAATAGGCCCCCCTCCTCCTGTCTTTTAGGGAAGTTGCTCCGCGGAACCTTTTTTTCCGGCCCGCGGAACCGTGTTTTCGCGGCATCCGGGGCGGTACGGGATCCATTGGGCGTAGAACCGCTTAGCAACCGAGGGGCGGGGAGACCCCGTTGCTACGAGACCCTCGGGAAGGAGCTGGACCCGGTGGCTTCCGCTCCTCCCGGAAAGTCTTCCCCGAGCGTCCCGGTCCCGCGTCTTCAGTTCCGCCCGCGGAGCGCAGCCAGGCCGGGGATGCCGCTGAGCCGCTTCGGCCGGCTGGAAACGGAGCGGGCGACGGCGGTGCTGCGGCGGCTCCTTCGGGCCGGGGGCTCGGCCAGGTCCGGCTGCGAGCGGAGCGGGTCCCGCCGAGCGCCTGCGGGGGAAATGGAGGGAGGCGCCCGGCGGGACGACTCTCTGCGCCCGGCGGATCCCTGCGGGCTGGGTGGGAATGGGCAGCCTTCCCCGGGGGAAGGGACTACAACTCCCAGAAGGCGCGCCGGCTCGGAAGCCTGCGAGGGGCCGGGGGAGGTTGGTCGCCCGAGGGGCTCCTGTCATGCCTCCTTCCTTCCCTCTCTCCTAGGTCCAGGATGATGAGGAACTGGGGGGTGATCGGTGGGGTGGCCGCCGTCTTGGCCGCCGGCCTCTACGTCCTCTGGGGCCCCTTGGCGGAGAGGAAGCGGCGCAGGAAAGGTGAGCAGGAGGGGCGCCCACCTGGGATGGCACCCGCAGCCCTGCTCTTCCCCTGCGACGTTACCCGCTTGGGAATTGAAAAGGCTGCAAGCTCGGAAGGCGGCGGGGAACCCCCCCCCCCAAACCCTTCAGCCTGGAGCAGAAGAGAGGGTCCTCGGTTGGAATAAGAAGAAGAGCAGGGTGAGCTCCGTAAGGCTAACCCATTATACGTACGGATCTTTTTCTCCGCAACAGGGCTGGTGCCCGGGCTGCTCAATCTGGGCAACACCTGCTTCATGAACTCCCTTCTCCAAGGGCTGTCGGCCTGTCCTTCTCTCATTCAGTGGCTGGAAGGATTCGCAGGTCAGGACTCGGCTGGCCAAAGCAAGAAGGCTGGCCAGCGGTCCCTCTCGCTGACCTTGCTTCGCTTGCTGAAAGGTAGGAATCCTTTTGCAAGACCTCGAGGGTGTGTGTTGTCTGTCGTTTTTCTGAAGTCCTGTGTTTTAACCTTTGGCTCCTTGTTCTGTTCATTGGATTACCTAGCAAACAGATGCAGCGCTTTTTATGATAACGGAGGAGGAAACGGCGAAGTAGTGGTAGAACACAGTTCTAGAAATGATGCTGTGAATATTGGCATGGCAAGAGGACGCGTTTCACCTGAAATTTGTAGAAAACTAAATGCAAATTCTGCCATTTGACAATGTTAGGGCAGGCAAGTGTGTTCTGACAGTGTTGTTGTCAAGGTTTTCCACTCTGTAGACTGTTCCAAAGCACATGAGTATAAAGTATTTACTTTAGAATCAGAGGCTCCAGGACTGGGAGGGAAATAAGTTTGCTTTTCTGAGAGACTCTGCATTAACTCTTCGGGCTGTTTATTGCTTTCAGCTTTATCCTGCCAAGAGGCAATGGAGGACGACCTCCTGGATGCAAGCTGCTTGTTGGAGGTTTTAAGGCTGTACCGCTGGCAAATCTCCTCTTTTGAAGAACAGGTAGTCAGAAAGAAGGAAGGCTTCTCGGTATCCACACATTGACTGTTTGGTCTGTGATATCAGGCATATTAAAAACAGGAGCAAGAATTGGCTTCTCCCTATTCATTGCAGTCACCTTTCCTGCTGTGGTTGACCTGGCATTTTAAACTCCCCTATCATTTTCTCCTTTGCCAGGATGCTCATGAACTGTTCCATGTCCTTACTTCTTCACTGGAAGAAGAGCGAGACGGTCAGAGCCAGATTCCACATTTATTTGATGTGCATTCACTGGAGGTGAGTGAAAGAATAGCTAAGGTGCACAACTAGAATTAGAACAGAAACCAAAATACAGTTTAGGCCAATCACCCGTCCTCTACCTGCCTGGGAGTTTGCCATCTTGAACTTTTGAGGATTTATTTTTCAGTAACCTACATAGGGCTGTGCAGGGATGCCTTTTATCTTTCTTTACAGTGTTTAAATCTCCAAGACAAGTGATTCCATCAATCAAAAGTCTTGATATTTGTGGCTTATTTTCATAGTACACTGTATTTGTTGTTTTTCCTACCTAGGAGCCGGAAATACCTCAAGAACAAATATGCTGCCGGACAAAAGGTAAAAAAAATAAAAAATAAAAGCTTTTAACAGGGTTGGCAACCATTACACAACCGATCGTGGCAAATGAGTTGTATTTTGTAGGTCCGCTTTATCCTGTGCCAAATTGCTGGAAAAGGCAGCATCCTTTTCACGGAAGACTGACCAGTCACATGGTTTGCAAGCACTGCAAGCAACAGGTACGTAAGAAGAATAAGTGCAGCTTTTTGGATCCACTGTGTAGAAATGTGTGATCTTCTGGGATCCACCAGAATGCAACAGTTGCCGTGGAACTGTCTGACTTGGGTAGGGCAACGGAGGGGCTTCCCCTTCCTTGCCTGTCTGCTGGGAGGTGGGAAAATGTTCGGGTGGAATCCAGGGCTCCTTTCTCTTTCAGAGTCCCCTCAGGTACGATACCTTTGACAGCCTTTCCTTGAGCATCCCCACCACCATGTGGGTAAGTCTCTTTCCTTGGAGATCCACAGCGATGCTTTACGAATCTGCCGGGCTCCTGACCTTTGCTTGACTTCCTCCCGTTGTCCGCAGGGCCATCCCTTGACGCTGGACCACTGTCTTCGCCACTTCATCTCCTCCGAGTCGGTCAAGGATGTCGTATGTGACAACTGTACCATAGTAGGTCTTCCGAGTACCTTGGGATCGTGTGATCCGTTTTGTATTTCACACACCAGTTTGCACACGGGTGTAAAAGTAGTGTCTTTGTGAATCGTGTCTTGGACCCACAGGACCCCTGAGCACCTTGGAAATTGTTTGTTTTGTCCTCTTCCCCAAGATTCAGGCTGAAGGGACGAAGGGCTTCCAAATTATGGAGCACCAGAGAACGACTTTTGTTAAGCAGCTCAAGTTAGGAAAGGTAAGAATCGGGGTGGTGGAACTGTTGTGGGTTTACTCTCTTTCTCTTGCTACATGTGTACTACAAATTCTGCACAGGAAATACTCCATTCTCTGTCTCGCTCCATGTCAGCAAATGTTAGAAGATATGGAAGTTGGTAATGAGGTAGGATTTCCTGCGGCAGACGGAAAAGTCCCAGGGCCTTTGTGAAGATGAAGCTATCACTTGTCCCTGAGAGGCTAGCTTTCCCCATTCACATTTGTTTTCCCTTGTGAGGGGCCTCCGCCTGTAACTTGCAGAGGATCAACCAGCATCACAGGCTGACTTCTTAAGCCACTGAGAAATTTGACACTGATTCTGCGTGGGCTCAAGGATGTCCTAAGAGCCAACTGGGGGTTAAACTTTGGGCTTGTACTTCAGCTACATTGCATATGGGAATGTCTCATCCCACCGCCAACAGCCCCATTTCCCTCTCCATCCTGACTTTCTAGCTCCCTCAGTGTCTCTGCATCCACCTGCAACGGTTGAGTTGGTCCAGCCACGGCTTGCCCCTGAAGCGGAACGAGCACGTGCAGTTCAGCGAGTTCCTCATCATGGATCTATACAAGCAGCACTTCCCCACCCATAAATCCAACCCCAGGGAGGGTCTGCAGGCGGAGCCAGACCCCGGGCAAGGTAGGAATTCATGGAGACCAGCCCTGCCTGCTCACCTATATTGGGGGCCATCAGCCATCAAGAATTAGCTTCCTTGTTTTTACAGGTGGGGAACGAACAGGGAACAGCAAGCCCATTCTCAGCAACGGCACATGCTGCACTCCGTGGCTGCCTCCCTCCATCAGCTTCCCTTACATGGCTGTTCCCGGCTGTGGGTAAGTGAGGACAGGGTGGGCTGCTGCTAGACTTCCTCAGGGACGAGAGCAGCCTGCAAAATACTATTTGTCTGCATCTTCCATGGGCTGCTGAGCCTGTCTATGAAACACATGGGTATTGGTTGAGCCTTTGGGTGAATTCCCGCCCTGCCTGGACCCAGCCCTGCCTGAATGGTTCTAGAGGCAGCTGCAGCTGTTGTGCCAAGAATGTAGGCAGTTGTTAGAAAGAGGCCCATGCTATTTGCTTCCCTTCTGAGCTCAAGAGGGGAGGATGGTTGTGGAATGAGCCTCTGCCTCTTTTCCCTCCAGTAGTTCCCCCGTCTACGTGTACCGCTTAATGGCTGTTGTGGTCCACCACGGGGACATGCACTCAGGGCACTTTGTGACCTTCCGCCGTTCTCCGTCATCTTCCCGGACTCCGCCGTCTGCCGGCAGCCAGTGGCTTTGGGTTTCCGATGACTTGGTGCGCAAGAGCAGCTTGCAAGAGGTCCTGGCTTCCAGCGCCTACTTGCTCTTTTATGAACGCATCTGCTCCAGGCTGCAGCCTCCCAGCCGAGAACTCCAAGCCGAGGAATGACAGAGGAGAGCTGGCCATGCACGGAGTAGTTGCTGCTCTTCTCTCGGGGTTGTGAGAGTTTCCTCCACGGACACCCCAGGATGCAGTGGGTGGAGGGGGTGCCTCTCGACAGGAGCTGGCCCGAAGATGCTCGGCATATGTGATTTTCATCCGTATCAGAAAAATCTTCATGTGCTCCACAATACTTTGTTCCAGAAATTTCAAGTAGAGACCTCTTAGGATCTTCTCCCTTGTGACATTCACCTCCTCTTCCTTTGTGGTGATTGATTTACTGCCAGTCTTTTCACAACATTTCATGTCTAGCAGATTTAGTCAGACAACAACCTACCATGTCCAGAGGGGAGGGTGGAAAAGTCTTTTTAAGTGCCTTGATCGTATGTTCATTAGCGACAAGAGGACCACTTAGGTGTGGCTGGGGCTCTGGGATTCCAGGGGAGGCCAGTGGAGCCGAAGAAGGCCTGCATTTCTGACTGGGGCCTGAAGCTGCTTCCCGGAATGCAAGGTGGCATCTTTGTATTGATGAGTCTGTTGTAATTCCATTTGTTTTCTTACCAGGATCTCCTTCAGCAAAAGGGGGACCCCTCTTTCCTATACCTTGCTAACTCTGCCACCAGAATTTGCCGATTTAAAATATTTTGTACATGATAAAATTGCTGCTAAGATTCCAAATGTATTTGGACCCATCATCTGTCTTTGTATGTGTGAGAGAAATCCTTTTCTCATCTTCCTGCACTGGCTCCTGTGGAATCAAAGCCAGGTGATGAGTGTCCTAACGACGTAACTTGTGTGTACTATTAAAGTCAGCAGCCCAACACCAATGACAAAGACAGAGCTTTTCTCCCATAGGAAACAAAGGATCACTTTTTATTTATTTCAGGGTATTAAAAGACACAAAACAGTAGAGTTTGTGCACCTCAGGCATGCTGCTGCTTGCAAAGTCACCTCTACTCAAGTTTGCTCAAATGGAAAGGAGTGGGGCAAGGCGCAGATAGGCCCTGGGAAGGCCCAGGTTCCTCCTTAACTCCAAGCTGCGGGATTCCCTGGACAGAAACAGGCCTGCATTTGGGGAGACCTTGGTGTAGAGACACTTTCCTAGAAATAGGACAGTGATGCCTCCCTGCTTAGAGAAGTGTCATGAATCTTGATCAGCTCCTTAAGCAGCAAGCAGATTGAACATGCACTGAGCCAGAGATTACGTTTGTGCAGCCCCCCCCCCCCCCCCCCATAGTTAACCGAAGTCTGGTTTATTCAGTTAACCCAATTTTCTTGGTTCACAGGATACTTTGTGCCACAGGCCAGGTTCACACAGCCTTCCAGGATCAAGTGTGACTGGCTGATTAGGGAGGGAGTGAATCCGAGGCAAACCAGAGCCACAAATACGGCTTGGTTAGAGGATCCAGAGGCTGCATCAGGTTGTGCAGAGCCTGTGATTACAACAGCCCAGTCCAGATAGGTTTCAAGAAAAGGGAGCTGTAAACCCAGGCTACAGCCTGTGAGAAACAAGGGGGGGGGGGTGTTTGTCCTTCAAGCACCCAAAAGGGAAAGGGTGGAAAGATGCTTCCCTTCCCCCCCGACACCCCCCCTTTCCCCTGCCTCTGGAAGCTAAAGAGTCCTAACTTTCCGAAAGGTCAGGTTGATTCTGGGTGCCAGCACTTTCTTGCGGCTGGGCAGGCTGTGGTACCAGTAGTGATTGGTGGGGAAGTTCATCATTAGCAGACTGCCATGATCCAACTGCAACTTGACAGGTGCGATTCGGCGAGAGGCGATTTTGCCCCGAGAAGCCCCATGGCGGAAGATGAAGTCCCTGCAGGCACCGAAGGACACGGAGGCAATGGGGCTGTGGGGAACCAGTTCCCTCTCGTCATCCCTGTGCTCTCCGATGTGGTCGTGCCCATCTTTATACCTGCAGAGGCACAAGGAAGATCCTGTATCCGTCTGCCGGGCGATGCAGCATGGCAGCTGGAGAACCCCAAATCCCATGTTCCAGGAAGAAGTGCGTCAGACGGATGGTGCTTCCTGCTGTCTGAAAAACCCTGGGGAATTACCTGTTTATCAAAATGAAGTTGAAGGTGTGCGTGGTGACCAGCTGGACACGGTCCCTGATGCGATTCAGAATTGGAATCCAGGGCTTGGGGGAAAAGGTGACACCAGAGTAAGTGTAGGTGAACCCAGCATCCCCGTAGGTCACCTGCTTCCTCGGGATTTCGTGCCACTTCCCAAAGATGTGTAGCTTGGTGAATTCACCTGTTTGGGGGGAAAAACAAAGCAGAACTCAATCTTGCCACAAATTTAGGCTTCTCAGGAGAGAGAAGAATCAGTAATGGAGAGGTAGCTCCTGTAACCCTCTTCCAAATTGACGGCAGGGGGCAAGAAGGAGAGCAGGGATTATTTCCTGCTACTCCAGGTGCTTCCCCCCCACCCAGACCTACAAAATACCAGCCAGGTGTAGGGAGCTGCATTCACCTTCAAAGTACTCCACTTCCTTTTCGAGCTGCTGGAAGATTTCGTCTGCCTGGGCTCTGCCATAGAGGATGGTATAGTCACAGATGAGCCCCTCTGCCCGGATTTTCTTCCATGGCATGCCTGGCAAGGGGCTCATCTCTTGCTTGGCTGCCTCCTTCGGGCTGCCTTGCTGGGCAGAGTCTGCCCTCTCCTCCTCCTCCTCTGTGGCCCTGGGCTCCAGGCCCTTCTCTGGGGTGGATCCAGGAACTGCTGGGATGAGGAATTTCTCCATCACCCACTTCAGGAGAAGGACAGAGTGGGAGGAAAGTGGCAGTCCATGGCAGGGGGATTCTGGCCGCTTTCTCTGGCGCCCCTCGGCAGAAGGGCCCCAGAGCTCCTTGGCAAGGTTTTCCTACCTACAGCAAAGGGGGAAACGCCAACCAGCAGCTGCTGCACCTGCCAGGCCAAAAGCAAACACCTGAGAAAACCAGCAATAATGGCGAATAATAACCCAGCCCCCTCCCCCCCTCCCTCCCCACCCCCCATCAGTCCCTCAAAGCCTCTAAGGCTGGGCCAGAAGGGAAAGCCTTTCGCCCCAGGCACCACCTGCCTCTTCCTTCAGAGGGGGAAGCGGGCAGGTGAGCACGGCGCTTAAGGGCGCTTCCTTCCCCCCCCGGGCCACTCGCAGCACCACCGGCCACCCGAAAGCCCGCTCTCTGGCTGGGTGGAGTGCCCAGGGCGCATGCGCCAAGCCCCCCCCCGATATTTTGCTCGCGGGGGGGGTTTCTACCTGGCCACAACAGCGCGCATGTGCGAATGTAATGGGCGGGGGGGAGGGCGTTCCTTGGTGTCGCGTAGCCAGTATTTTCCCGCCAATTTTTTCGCGGGAGATTCCAAGTGATTCCGCCGCAGCAGCCGCCGCTCCCGACCTGCAGCGCCCCGTTGCCCCGGAGAGCGGTTCCACCATGATCGGGCAGAAGTCCTTGCTCTCCTTTTTCACGGCGGCGCCCGGCAAGAAGAGGAGTCGCTCTCCGGAGTCAGCCGCGGCGGCAACTGAGGTACTTTTCGGGGAGGGTTATTATGAAGGAAGGGCTTAATTAAATAATTATTATTATTATTATTATTATTATTATTATTATTATTATTATTATTATTATTATTATTATTATATGCGGGAGGCAGTCTGGGGATTCGGAGGGAGAAGCGGGGCATGTATTCAACTACCACGTTTTTACTAGTAAAGGCAAAAATTGCTGTCTGAGGTACCGACCAATCAGAAGCCTCCGAAGGCTCTTAGTGGGAGGGCCGCTGGGGCCGCTTCGGGTCACGTGGCCCGGTGAACCACCGAGAATTCACGCTTTAGGGAGGGGCTGAATTTAGCTGGAAATGGTCCTGATTGGTTTTAAGGGGTAATCCCACCCATCTTCTACCCGCAATCCAATTAAAGGTCTGGGCGGGTCAAGGGAAAAAAAGCAACAATGGACGTAGACCAATAGGAAAGCCCCCTCGCCCCCTTGGGCGGCATGCTGGGTTTGTTTTTCCCGCGAAATGCGCACGTTTTTCTCCGGGCCGGAAGTGTCGGAGAGGCGGCTGCGGTTGCTTCGCCTCCATGGCACCGGCCTTGGGAATTAGGTTTTCTCCCCGCGGCCGCTTTCCTGCTTCCCTTTCCCTGCGCCTGACCCGCTTCTTTTCCCTCTTGCAGGCCGCCAAAAGATCGAAGATTAATGGCTGTTCCACGCGATCTCCCCCGCTCAGCCCGGAACAGGTGGAGCGCATCCGCAAAAACAAAGAGGCGGCACTGCAGAAGCTCGCAGCCCGTACCGCTAGCTACATTCCTGCGGAGCTGGGGCAGAGCTGGAGGGTCTCCCTGGCCGGAGAGTTCGCCAAGCCGTATTTCACTCAGGTGGGTAGGAAGCCAGGACTTTTGCTAAAGGATCAGGGTTTTTTATTGGTGTGTTCCCCCCACCTTCCTGCTTTTAGGTCTTAGTCCAGCTGATTAAAGAGAAGGGGTGCTTGTTAATTAGCATTATTGGAGTGAATTTTAGCCTGTTCCTGCTGATAACAAGGTTAGACAAATGCTTTTATCTCAGCAGTCCATCCTCAAAGGCTACCACACCACTGGGACAGGTGCTTTTTAAAGCAATTGGCTTGTAGGCCTTTTTTAATGATGTTGAAGATTTTAACAGCCGTCTTCTGATAACATCTGTGAGGACTGCTTGAGTGAGACACAATAATTCATCTCCTGGAAGCCACATTCTGCCCAGCAGAATTTGTGATGAGGGTACTGGACAACATCAGGGCAAAGACTGTTTCTGTGCATGTTATGGAATGTGATATCTCCTTAGTTGAGGTCTAAATAAATCCCCCCCCCCTTTATACAGCTGATGACATTCGTTGCTGAAGAACGCAAGCGCTGTACAGTTTATCCACCCCAGCATCAGGTCTTCACTTGGACCCAGCTGTGTGACATCCATGATGTGAGTCAACCTATTATAATTAGTCTGCGTTTATCATCTTGTTCCTTTAGGAATGGGTAGTGTTATCTTCAGGTGTTTACCCTTAGCTATTAGCTGAGTTCATACGACACAGGTAGCCACTGGGGTTTTTTTTTTTTTTTAGTCATCCATATTTAAGCAAATCCTGGCTTAATGCAGCGTGTGAATCCAGGCACTTTGCCTGTCGCCCTAACCAGTTCCCAAGTTCAATGTAATGGCGTTTGCTGCTTTTTGGAATACTACTAAGAGCAAAGAATTTTCCGTCTCATCAAGTAGAAGCATAAATCTAGACAAAAAATTGTTTGAGAATAGGAATAACGGATGTGGAGTGTTCAAATGTTTTCTGCTCTTGCTTTCAGGTGAAAGTTGTCATTTTGGGCCAAGATCCATATCACGGGCCCAATCAAGCTCATGGGCTCTGCTTCAGCGTCCAGAGACCAGTTCCCCCTCCGCCCAGGTAAGGTTCAGCTCTGGCCCAGTAGTTCTGTTAGGGCCAGGGGTGCCGTCTTGTTTTATAGCATTCTTTGGAACAGCTGACTGCTGAATATATTGTGTGAAAACGTGGTGCTTCTGAGACTTGTTTTTCTTTATAGCCTGGAAAATATTTACAAAGAGCTTGCTGTGGATATAGAAGGCTTTTCACATCCTGGCCATGGAGATTTGACTGGATGGGCTAAACAAGGTGACCCAATGCCATTCTTTTCCCAATTGCTTTCAGGCTGCATTTGGTTCTGCTGCATTTGTGCTTCAGTTGCTAGAGTTACCCAGCCTTTGTGACTGATCTGAAAACTGAAGGTCACACCTTTGTAGATCATCCAGGCTGGTTGATGTGTCTCCCCTAAATATGTATTTTAATTACTATTTCTAACCTCTCACAATCATGTTTCTCACAAACCACAAAGCAAGTAATCAAATCAACTGCCATCTTTCAAACTAGGCTTGTAGCAAAACCTGTCATAGTGAACAAAATAATTGTAATTCTTGTATTAAGGGACTATATAAAGCCTCCATAGAAATGGTACAAAATTATGCTTGAAAGCCGTGAGAGGAAACAGTTCTAGCTCCACCCTTCTGTCCCGTCAATTTTGGAGGCTGCATCCTGGATGGGCATATGAAGTGATCTTGATTATCCAGCTTTGATGGGAGCAAAAATGACTTTATTCCAGCATTCCTACTACTGGCATCGTGCTGTTGTTTTTACAATCCAGGTGTGCTGCTGCTTAATGCTGTCCTCACAGTCCGAGCTCATCAAGCCAATTCCCACAGAGAGAGGGGCTGGGAGCAATTCACAGACGCCGTGGTCTCCTGGCTGAACGAGAACCTGGACGGCCTGGTCTTCATGCTGTGGGGAGCTTATGCTCAGAAGAAGGGCAGCTCTATTGACAGGGTAGGTTGGCTTTTGACAACAGCACTTGTCTGCTGTTTAAAAGGAGATCTAAGTGAGCTACCACACTTGGCCATAACGCTGTTTGCTTGCAGTAAATGATGAACCTAATCATGCTTTGCGCCTTACCATGATGGGAATGCTCAGACAGCTTATCTACCAAATGAGGATTAAAATAAATGAAACCTTTGCAGGGGTGGATGAATCTAGCCAATGAAACTATTCCTTTTTAAAAAATTCAATCCACATTCTAACTCAATAGAAGTAGAAACGTGGCCTGCTTATAGGATCTCTTTGCTTAATTCTGGACAATTGGGCTCTGCTAGCTTCTTAATCTATGCCTTTAAATCACGCCGGTTCTTCAAGCGTGTGGGGCTGGGAAGTCTTAACGCCTCTGGCTTCTTGCAGAAACGGCACCACGTCCTACAGACAGCACATCCCTCGCCCCTCTCTGTGCACAGGGGTTTCTTTGGCTGTAAGCATTTCTCCAAAACGAACGAATTCCTGAAGAAATCTGGGAAGCAGCTGATCGACTGGAGGGCCCTGTAAGGATCCTGAAACTCCCTGGAGACCACAAGAGCAGCCATTTTTGTCCCTAACATGCTGGAGAGCCTCTGCAGAAATATTCTTGGACGGGTTTCGTTGAAGCTGATCTAAACAGTATTCTTTTCACTTTTAATTCAGGGTTAACCTGAGTCATGGTGTTTATTCCAAGTATATTTTTTAAAATTTTGGAGCAAACGGAGATTAGCCAAAGAACGCTGCCCTGTTTTTCTTCAAATTCTTCATCACTGTCAAAAACTTCCTGCCAATCTTTTCCTTGCAATCATGACCCTGAGGTTTTTGTTTTTCCTTCTCTTATGCTTCTCAGAGGAAAATGGAAATATTGACAGCCAACAAGGTGTCTCTTTGTTTTGCCTCTGCTGAAGAATTCATTCAGCAAGCTGCTTATTTCATCCAAACTTGAAGCCTTATCTACTTATCCCAACTTGGTCTTTTTTTTTAATCTGCCAACGATTTAAGACTTTCAAAAGGTGCTATGAAAAATAATTTTTAGTAGTTTGACTTGCAGGAAGTGGACCAACAGTTTGAATGTATTCCACTTTTGGGACCAGATTTAAAAGTATTGCCAGAATTCTGTGGGAAATGTTACTTATGTAGTACAGAAAGGAGAGCTGCAGTTGGCTAAAAATTACAAGCCAAAAGTTTTCTAGGAAACCAGTTTGTGTTTAGATGAGGGCTTGATTGGCCTGCGAGGCTTCGCACTTGGGGTGCAGCCAGTCCTCAGTCTGGTGCAGAAAGAAAGCCGGTTCTGGCACCAACCTCGGGTATCTCACTTCTGCCAAACTTAGGTGCCTTTTCGATGCTGCCCTAGCCCAACGTCTCGGTTGCAGGTTATTCCCACAGGAGCCGTTGCTGAACTCCCATCAGCTTCTGTGTGTGAGAAGAAGAAGCCTTGTGTTTCGTATGCAAATTGCATATGGAGAACTTCCAGCTGGTATATTTATAATACCAATTTTAAGACACTTTTTTCAAAAAAAAAGAAAACCACATCTTTCCTGTAACACTAGTTCCCTACATTGACGTGTTCCAAAGTTTTCAAATAAATGTTTCTGATATTTACTTGAAATCCGTGATGCCCATTTTCGAAAGATGACTTTCCTTAAATGGTATTTTAGGAAAAGGTTCAAACTCCTTTGCAGGCACTCCAGCGTTTCTCAGTCTGGGGGCAGCAAAGATACTCTCTTGGGGGGGAGGTGGGGGCTGCCAGGGGATGGATCATGCCCAATGAGGAGGGGGGGGGATGGAAAGCGGGGGGGGTCTCTGGGCAAAGGGAGCTTTCAAGCCCTTCAAAGAGGCCAGCTGTGCTCTGTCCCCCTGGAAGCGGGGGGCCGCATAGGATGATGGGCTTTGCAATACTTGCAATATGGGTTTTTAGCCAGCGGCTGCTTCCCCCTGCAGCGGGGGCCTCTCGGGCTGCGGCTGCTGGATCCCCGGGGAGTGCGGGGGTGGGGCGGGCTGAGAGCCCTCGGCTACGGTGCGGCGCCCCTCCCGGCGCTTTGCACGTGGGCGCGTGGAGCGGAGGTCCCAGCGGAAGGCAGCGCGTTGCAGCCCGCGACGGCAAGTGCAAGGAGCCCGCCGGCTTCTCCGGCCCGTCCTGCAAGCGGCCCTGCTTGGAACGGCTTTTATCGGGGCGGCTCCGCCTCGCCTGCAGACAAAGAGGCCGCCGGCGCCCTCCGCCCGGGAGCTTTGCTTCGGAGGGAAGCGGCCCGGCTGAGCAGGTGGGCCTTGCCCCGGGGGGAGGGGGGGGAGGGGGGGGCCGAGGTCGGGCTGGCAGCCGGCGGGGCTTTACAGGATGGAGACAATAAGCGGGGGCGGCGCCTCCTGCCTTGGCTGCCGCTTTGAATAATGCAAAAACGATGCGCAGGAAAACAAGGAGGGTTTCCTTCAAACTCTACTGAAGTTTGTGTGTGTTGTGTTGTGTTGTTTATTTGCAAAGGAAAAGGTAATCTTAAACACAACGGTACTGTCCGCTACACTTTTAATTTTGTTTCAGTTTATCTTTGCCAGCAGCAAACACACCTTCGGGAGATGCTGGAAGTTGTTGTTGTTTACAACATTCAGTGCGGTGTGTGGTATCCAGTAACCTTTGGAGGTGTGCAAAGCAGTTGTCAGTTTTTATCCTGGCGAGCGAACTTTGCCCCAGTTAAAGTCAAAGTGCCCTGTTGGGCGGGCACAGAATGCCATGGAGCCCTGCCACCTGGCACCCGCTGCTCCAGCCTCCCGGGGCCAAGAAAGAAATTTCCATACAAACACAACACAAGGGTGTGATCTTCTTTCAGACTGGGAAGCTTTGAATTCGGGCGTGCTCCGTTTTGGGTGGATTTAAGGTTGAGATGTGAGTAGCACAAAAGCCAAAATCTTTCAATGTTAGGTGGTGTGACCAGCAAAGAAAGGACTTCCTTTGAGCTGCCCTTTCCTAATGTCACTATTGCACTTCATCTCAGCCAGAAGCTTTTATATCAGCTTGCTGGCTGTAATAAAGTTTTTGATTTGGGAACATTATTATTTATTGGTAAGTTTCTGTTCACCAAGACTTTGCATGAGCTGTTGGCAACTGTGCATTTTGTTTGTTATATATAGACAGAACCACCAAGCGCCTAATTTGCTCAGCACTAAGGATGTTAACATGCGAATAATTGTGTGTGTTGTGTGGCTGTCCATGTCCATGCAAGATCCAGTTAATCTTCACATTCCCGGACTTCCAGCTGCTGAGGAGCCCAAGCTAATTTGCTTGTCAGAAAGCGAATCTTTTTTTAGAAAGTATATTAATGGACTAGAGAAAGCTGGAAAAGATTGCAGTTGTAATTAGTTAAAGCAGCTTTAGATAATTCATTAGATGCAGAACTTAGCAAATGTAAGTCTCTCTCTGCTGTTCCTCCAAGGAACTTCTCAATTTTGGGGTTCTTCTGGTGAGTTTTGTAAATGGCTTTGATGGAACAGGAGATGCTCTCAGAGTATTTATATTTAAAACAGGTTGGCAGAAAATTCATCTTATTTTCTTTTTTAATTATTACTATCATGTGGATTTCCTTCCCCTCTTCTTAATAAATACTAAAGATTTGCTCGATTAGCAAAGATTCAGGTTTTGATTTAACTGAGGTCGTAGTTGTATCCCTTTCTTGGAAATTCATATTCAGTTTAGTCGGATTTGGGGCTAAGCAGTGTTAAAATAAGCAGTCAAAAGGAAGTAAGTTACTCCTTAAATTGGGAACCAGTTGCGAATGATTTGGCTCCTATGCTGCAAGCTGGAGGGAAAATGGGCCTTGACTGCCATGTGATTGAGAACTGAGACCCTGAGTACCTATGGAAACCAGCAACCCTGATCAAGGGCAGAGAAGAAGAAGACTTCGTATGTCCTTTAAAATGTGGGTTGTTGATTGTTGTTACAAAAGTTGTTACTGACTCCTTGGTCTTGGCTGTAGGAGAAAGGTCACTTCTCTAGATGTTGGAATTGAAGGCAAGGGTCTTCTGGAGCAGAGGGAGGGTCTTGCCTAAAGAGGCTGGATCCTGGTGGGCCAAGTCTTCATATTTGGGGTCTTGGGGCAGGACCACAGCCAGCCCTGGATACTGTTTGCGGAGGATAAAAATAGCAAGCTCCTTTATAGCTTTAGGAAGAGCAGTTGCCTGGGCAGCCAGGAATTTTGGGCCTGGGGGAAGTGGAACTTCTGGGAGGCACTGAGGTGCATGCGAGTCTGCAGCTGAAGAGGCAGAGGTTGCTGGTGGGGCTTCATAATTGTGTGGGAGACCTGACTCACTCCATTTCTACACACCGCCTCTTTACTCAGTGGTAAAATTCCACTCTGAGTTGCGAAAGAATTGATGTTTGAGTCCTTGAAAGCTCGTGGTGGATCCATTATTGAAAAGGTTAGTATATGTCAGAGCAATGAGCCGCAAGCCAGGAGGTTTAGGGGACCGCTATTCTGCTTGCTGTGAGCCTCACGCAGTAGTGCCGCTTCTCCCAGAGTCAAAACAGTCTCTTTGGCTTGAGGGAGGGGCATCTTCTCTTCTACAAAGTTGCTCTGCCCTCTTGGATCCAAGGCCCTGATTCTGAGTCCCCAGACTCCCTGTGGGCACAAGTATCCCTTCCCCAACTGAGTGCTGCTGTTTCTCTTATTTCTAGGGTTCCTGAATGGTTCTGCTAGTGTTCGTGGCCTTGGTGCTTGGGCTGTGGCTGGTTTGGACCAAGATGGCCAAAAGCCCTCCGCTTGGTTTGAAAAAACTGAAGCTTGAGCAGCCTGTCCCGGAGCAGCTGACCACTCCAGAAGTCCAGCAGCTGCCTTCCAGCAGGTTCCTTCCACAGTTCCCGGGGGATGAGGCAGAAGCCGTATCCTCAGAGCCCAGCCAGGCCCCTGCAAGCCCATCGAGCCAGCCCCTTCCCTGCACCCAGATACCCACAGATCCCTCCTGCCAACGCAAGCCCCCCATCCCCCGCTCTTCCTCGGACTGTCTGCTGTCTCCGGCCGCTGATTCCGCCAGGCCTTTGAGCCGGTTTGCCCGAGTGTCCTCAACGCAGCTCTTGAAGCAAATGCACTCCCTGTCCTTTGAAGAGCAGGCCGACAGCCCTGCCCGGAGGAAGCAGCAAGCCATGGCCAAGTTTGTCTTGGGCTCCTTTGAAGACAATTCTTCGGACGAGGAGCTTGTAGCCGGAGGAGCCTTTCCGAGGAGCAGGAGGAGACGGAGCAGCCTGGCCCATCTCGGTTCTTCCTCCTCCGTGAACTCGGAAGCGAGCCTTATCATGAGGTAGGCAACGTGGTGACGCGGCTGGTTTGGCCTCTGCGCCGAACCTCCGGGAGGAGCCAATTCAGGGAGGGCCAAGGTGGGCTTTCTCTCATTTCCCAATATTTGGTCAAATGTCACTTATTTCAGGAGGCATTTGGATTGAAGCCACTCACTGTCCTGCAATCCCTTTTTTAGATTGCTAGGATCTACTTTCTAACCCTAACCCTAACCTTAAACACTCAAAGAGCCTCAAAGGTCCTCTCCAGAAGCCCCCCGTTCAATTCTGGAGCTGACCGGAAGTCCGGTTCCCCCACCATAGAGTCTCCTCCTAGCGCAGTGTCCTTTTTCCTCTACCTGCCCTAACAAAAAACCCCTATCAATTGTGGAGCTGACTGGCGACAATCAGTAACCTGAGCAAACCAGGGGTGAAAACCAGCAGGTTCTGACAGGTTCTGGAGAACCGGCAGCGGAAATTTTGAGTAGTTTGGAAAACCGGCAAATGCCACCTCTGGCTGGCCCCAGAGTTGGGTGGGAATGGGGATTTTGCAATATCCTTCCCCCAGGAATGGGGTGGGAATGGAGGTTTTGCAGTATCCTTCCCCTGCCACACGCACCAAGCCACGCCCACCAAGCCAAACCATGTCCACCAAGCCACGCCCACAGAACCGGTAGTAAAATAAATTGGATTTCCCCACTGGAGCAAACCCCCGCTTTGGCTTTTGTTTTAATCCGTCTAATTTACCCCGCGTGTTTCAAGTATTACAAACTTCCCATATTTGGTGTACTGAAGCCGGAAAGCGTGGCTGCCAGGGCTGTCCCTCTGTCTGCAGCAGTTGTGTTTAGGTTTAGGTTCCAGGCCAAAATGCCTCGGGCACCAACCTGAGGAAGACTGCTAGAAGGACTCCTCATTTCCGGTTGGGTGTCGAGAGAAATCCTTTGAGCCTGGCTCTTGGATCTGCAATTGTTTGTGCAGGAGTTAAGGACTTACAGCGACGGGTCTTGGGATGAAAACCGGAACAGCCTGGTATTTCTGTGAAATGCTCCCAACACTTTTCTAAACGGCTTTTTGAAGTACAGGAACCTGATGCGCAAATCAAAATAGTGAGGAGCAGGAGGATATTCAGATCCCGGAAGCCATAAATCCTTGTGACGAGAGTGCAGAGAATTATCGGCTGGTCCTTTCCACTGTGGATATATTCTGTCCCTTTCACATCCACCACATATTATTTTACGCGTTGATATCTTCCTTTTTATTTCTCTTAAAGAGCTTTGCCAGTACAATGAAGGCATAAAGTACAAAGAAAACAGATCAATTCCTGGTGCCATTAAATGAGCCACAGTGCTGATAA